TCAAAAATTTCCAGGGTGGTTGGTTGCCGGTCAAAGCCGGTGAGCCAGCGGGCAGCTGTCCCAGCAACCGGACACCAACACCCACATCCATTCAGGCTCTGGGACCCCCCGCCCGGCCAGGCCAGTCACCTGGGTTCATTTCTTTGTGAAGGGTTGGCAGCCCCGGGGGGGAAGGTCACTGGACCAATGGGAATCAACATGCCGTGCAGTCTGGATGGGGACTGAGGAACCTGCTGCACCATTTACGCAGAGGAACGATTTCCTGCACAAGGCCACCCATGTTTGGGGACCGACAACAGGCAGGGCAGCTTCCATGGAGACCTGGACTCTTTGCCCTGCATCTCAGGGAGACTGGGTGCTTCCCGAGGATTCGAATTCAAGCCTCAGAGCCTAGCAGCTCCCCTCCTCCAAACCATGCAGCAGATTGTTGGCTCCCGCACCTGCCTTGTGAGTTACACGCCCACCCAAAACACAGAGTCCTCTGCCCGTCTGTCAGCCTAGCAGCAGCTAGTTATTGGGCTTCTGTTCCCCTGAGACGTGTGAAGTGACAGCAGTCGCACAGGCGGGAGGAGGGGGAGGAAAGGGTGAAAGGAGGATGGGCAGTAGGAGCCCATGAGACTGTCACCAAGGGACGGCAAGAGGCCAGGGCCAAGCCGGGAGCTTCACTCCACTTTTAACCCATTGCTTGTTAATAACCCCCCCAAACTGAATTCTCACAGGCTTCCCCCCAGGACTCCCAAGCGCTGGGGTTCAGTGCACGGCTGCTGGCCAGAATGTATTTTTGCCACATGTGCTTTGAAAATCAGACATATAAAATAGTCTCTAGAACGTGCCAAGCATCAGAGCTGGGGCTCCGGCCCCCCTGAGCAGAGCCATGGGGGAGCCAGTCTCTTGGTTTATCTCCGGTCCTCCTGGCTTTTCGCCCCATGATGTGCCCCGAGTTCCTGGCATGGACGGCCGGCCATGGTGCCGTGTCAAGCCAGAGGGCTCAGAGCTCTGATCCAAGAGGAGGGTTGAAGGTTCCAGTTCATACTGGTGCCAGGCAGTGTCCTCCTGGTGCCAGATTAATGCTTAGGCTCCGCCTCTTCCTGCCTGGAACAAGAACAAGGTCACTAAGACTAGGTCTACACGTATCCCGAGATCGAAGCTCCGGAGATTGGTCTTAAGAACATAGGAACGGCCAGACTGGGTCGGCCCAAAGGCCCATCCAGCCCAGTGTCCTGTCTGCCGACAGTGACCAATGCCCAATGCCCCGGAGGGAGGGAACAGAACAGAGAATCATCAAGTGATCACTCCCCTGTCGCCCATTCCCAGCCTCTGACAGAGACTAGAGACACCATTCCTACCCAGCCTGGCTAAGAGCCATTGATGGACCTGTCCTCCATGAATCTATCTAGCTCTTTTTTGATCTTCCAGGGTTTGATTTTGCAGGTCTAGTAAGGACCCACTTAATCGACCGCTGATGCCACCCCCGTCGACCCCAGTATTCCACGGGGTCGCAAGGAGTAAGGGGAGTCAATGGGAGAGTTTTCCCCATCAACCTCCCACAGTGGGAATGCTGCAGAAATTCGACTTAAGGTGTGTTGAGTTGGGTATCTTAGGTTGACTTTCTCGTGTAATGTAGACTTGATCCAGGGGTCCAAAAAGCCTGACAGATGTAGGTAACTCCCTGCCCCTGCAGGAGCTGGCTCTGGAGATACAGGAGTGTGTCTGCAGACACCGGCACGATATCTCATGCAATGAGTTGGTGTCTCAGCTTAGCACATGCATCCAACACCTGACATCGTTGGATAACACTGTCACCATCTGCCCAGAACTGGCCCAGCAGGAAGGTGCTGCAAATTGGGACTGAGAGGCATTAGCCAAGGTGCGTGGGGACGATCTCAGGCTCGGATTAGCAGGGAGGGCTGCCACGGTGGAGTGCAGAGCTATATGGAGGTGCTAGGAACGGGGGAGAGGCACAGACTGTGGTGCACCTGGGACTTCTGCCCATAACCTCCTGCCTGCCGATCAGCAGTGCCAGACTGTCACATTCTCCATTATCCACATCAGACCCAGCTCATTTCTGGTCCGTTATGATCCCCGTGAGGACAGATCTGCCTAAGAGACCTAGAAGCAATTTGCCCAACCAGGCTAAACCTATTTGCGCAGGTGACCAGGGAATCCAGCTGTGAGCTGCCAGGACCGGTGCTGAAAATGTTGCCCCTAGATTTAAATAAAAAGGGCAGAGAGGGAAAGGGGGTTGATACAAAGAGAATCACTTGGAGCAACAATTCTGAGACTGTGGTTCGGGACCCCATTTTACTGGGGTCACTGGGGCTGGCTCAGATTTGCTGGAGCCTGGGGGGGCCAAAGTGGAAGCCCAAGCCCCATCGCCCAGGGCAGAGGCTAGAAGGCTTCCGGTCCTTCCATCCCTGGGGTCGTGTAGTAAATTGAGAACCCCGGATTTAGAGCAAAGTTCTGCTCTCCCTTATTCCAGCCTGACGCCAGCGACACCCTAGACATCCGAGGGGTTACTCTGGATTTACACCAGTGTAACAGGGCAGAATCCAGCCCCGCGTTACACAAGAGTGAGGTGGCTTTGCCTTACTCATTCATTAGGACCCAGAGGCCAGCTCCTTGCAGGGTATTTTTGTCTGCCCTCGCGTCACACACGGGGGCGTTGGCACTTTAGCATGCACACCGGAAACGGGCAAAATCCCCGTGACCTTCCGTAGCCGGGTGGTCCATCCAGCCTGGGACGCTGCCCCTTCGGAGGGACACATGGTGCAGCACAGACGGCACCTTTCAGAAATCTCCCGCTCTGCGGGGGCAGCATGTGCCCTGCTGTCCCTTTATCCCACCTTGTTACCCCGCCTGTCCCTTTAATGCAATTACCCAAGAGCATTACATGAGCACATCCCTGGGACGTGCGGGTGCGTAGGCCGCCACACACCTACCTCGCTGGCCCCGGAGCCGTGCTCCCCAGCGGGGCGGGCAGGTGCTTCCGGATGTACTCTCTGGATCGCATGTCAGCCTGCAGTTGGGGAGGAGATGGCTTAGAGAAGGTGCAAGACTTGATTGGTCAGACCGCCCAGCGCCCTCCAAGCATGAAAGATCGGCCAGGCAGCTGCACAGGCCAGGAGGATTCCCAGCCTTAGTGCAACATCAGAACGGCCAGACTGGGTCAGACCAAAGGTCCGTCCAGCCCAGTATCCTGTCTGCCCACAGTGGCCAGCACCAGGTGCCCCAGAGGGAGGGAACAGAACAGGGAATGATCAAGCGACCTCGCTCCTGCCATCCGTCTCCACCCTCTGACAAACAGAGGCCAGGAACACCATTCCTTACCCGTACTGGCTAATAGCCAGGGCTCAACAATTAAGAGTAGAGTTTAGCCTGGCACGGCACCACAGCGTGCTCAGCGCATGCGCAGTGTGCCAGACCGTGAGGCTGGCGAGCAGGGCTCGCCGCCGCTTGTCAAGCCCTGCTAATAGCCATTAATGGACTTAACCTCCATGAATTTATCTAGTTCTCTTTTAAACCCTGTTATAGCCCTGGCCTTCACAACCTCCTCAGGCAAGGAGTTCCACAGGTTGACTGTGCACTGTGTGAAAAAGAACTTCCTTTTATTTGTTTTAAACCTGCTGCCCATTAGATTCATTTGGTGGCCCTAGTTCTGATATTATGGGAACAAGTAAATAACTTTTCCTTATTCACTTTCTCCACACCACTCATGATTTTATAGACCTTTATCAAATCCCCCCTTAGTCTCCTCTTTTCCAAGCTGAAAAGTCCCAGTCTCTTTAATTTCTCCTCATAGTGCCCCGTTCCAAACCCCTCATCATTTTAGTTGCCCTTCTCTGAACCTTTTCTAATGCCAGTATATCTTTTTTGAGATGAGGAGACCACATCTGTATGCAGTATTCCAGATGTGGGCATATCATGGATTTATATAAGGGCAATAAGATATTCTCCGTCTTATTCTCTATCCCTTTTTTAATGACTCCTAAGATCCTGTTTGCTTTTTTGGCTGCCGCTGTGCACTGCATGGACGTCTTCAGAGAACTATCCACGATGACTCCAAGATCTCTTTCCTGATTAGTTGTAGCTAAATTAGCCCCCATCATACTGTACGTATAGTTGGGGTTATTTTTCCCAATGTGCATTACTTTACATTTATCCACATTCAATTTCCTTTGCCATTTTGTTGCCCAATCACTTAGCTTGGGGAGATCTTTTAGAAGCTCTTCACAGTCTGCTTTGGTCTTAACTCCCTCGAACAGTTTAGTATCGTCTGCAACATGCATCTTCTCTGCAAGTGAGGGGGGTGACGGCTCAGCCCAGCAGCTCCGGGTAGGGCTGCCAAGCAAGGAGGGCCCCACCTGTCTCCCTGACTTTATCCTGCTCCATTCAGTCCCTCTGCCCCGGGCTGAGAAGACAAAGACCCCGAAGGGTGGCGAGGAGGCTCGTGGCCCAGGCAGCTCATGTTGGAAGCAGAAAGGAGATTTCCTAAAGCCCGTCCCCCATTTCTGCATTTACCACCAGGGAAGCCAGCAAGGCACAGCTACAGCCCTTGCTACAGCCATTGGGCCCAGGGAAGGAAGGCTGGAAGGACAAGTGTCCCTCTGCCCGCAGGAAGCTGCGGGACGCCTCGCTGCAGCCCCCTGACCAGCAGCACAAAGGCCCTGTAGCAAGTGGGCCCTGCCAGCATGGCTCGCCGTGCCCACCTGGGGATGGAAACGGGCCGGCGGGGGTGGAAGTGCTCGAGCATTTAATTGCTTCCCCCTGAAGCGACAGCAAGTGCTGCTGGGTCAGGGATACCCCTGGGTGGGGCATTCGCTGTGTAGAGACGCCGGACCCTGAAAGTGCCAGACTGGGGATGGAAACGGGCCGGCGGGGGTGGAAGTGCTCGAGCATTTAATTGCTTCCCCCTGAAGCGACAGCAAGTGCTGCTGGGTCAGGGATACCCCTGGGTGGGGCATTCGCTGTGTAGAGACGCCGGACCCTGAAAGTGCCAGAGCTCCTCCCCGCCTGCTGCTCCCAGCGCGAGGATGCGGCTGTGCAAACTTTACTGACACTTCCCTTCCGGCAACCTCAGCCGGAGCGAGCCCCAGCCAGGGGCAAGAGGGGCATTTGGGCCCCACGGCTGAGAGTGAGACAAGGGCCCCCGGCGCTAGCAGTGATAGAGGCGATAGGGAAGCAGACACCTGCCCCATAGGAAATGGGCAGCCCGCCCCACTGCTCACAGGCCAGCGAACAGCAGGGACTGACTTGCCCGGGGCAGGATTTGAACTGCTGACCTGCAGGATGCCTGTCCCAGCTGAGCGCTAGGCTGGCTCTGGGAATGAGTCTCCCTCCCCCGCTCTGGGCCGGGTCATGCACCAGCCCGCCCCCGAGCCAGTCACGTCAGCTTGCCGCTGGGGCAGCCCCTCAGCCCAGCACAAGGCAGGGCCACGCTGGCGGGGGACGTCGTTCCCGGACTGGGGAGCATTGCTGCTTGGCTTTTCAATTTACGCTTTGGGCTGGGTTGGGGGGGGCTCTTGCAAATCTCCCGCTTCCCCCCCAGTGGAGAAATGCCTCTCGGTGCCCACCTGAGACTGTGCGAGCAGGGGCAGCGACTAGCTTCAGGGTTTTTCTCATGGAAACGTCTCAGGCACACGAGGACACGGTGGGCGCTGCGAGGGGATGGAGATCAGAACGCCAGCCCCCTGCTTGTATTCTCATAGGTCCTGCTTTAATGGATGCAGCCCCCCGGCCTGCACCGCTCTGCTCAGAGCACTGAGACGACCAGCTGTCCCTTCGCTACCTGTGAATAGCCGCCCTCTTCACCAAACAGGCTAGATACCTTTATTCTCTGCTTGAGGGTTCCCAGACACAGTCCCTTCCTGTGCTCCCACAGGGAAAGCTCCAAAGCAATGTCCCCTCTAGTCTTTTCCATCCACGTGTGGAATAAATTTTGTTCCATGCACCTAGCTGTGGGCGCTCTGCTAATCAGCAGGGCGGCATTTGTATCTCTCCTGAGCAGCTGCCAAGCGCCCAGCTCACAGGAAACACGGCTCCAGAATCAGACCACAGGCCAACGACTGTTATTGAAATCAGGCATTAAACATTGCAAGGGGAAGAGCCCAGCGCTACAGACTTGGCCATGAAGCCATCGGAGGGTGCCTAGAAGTGGCCACGAACCAAGGTTTCTCCCAGTGGCATGTGAAATCCTTAACAATCAATCCCGGGGGAATCAAAATCTGTCCGGCAGCCTCCTCTCCCAGAGTGCAGCGCATTCTCAGGCCCGCGACCCACCGGGGAAAACACACCTTTGTCTACTCTCCTCGGCTACGCGGGGCCCCTCAGGGCTGGGATGGAGGCCTCCAAAGAAAGCCGAGAGCTACAGCATGTGCTGCTGCTGCGTCAGCACTGGGGCTTGGTGTGGTGCAAGGGGTCATCCTTCCACGGAGACAGACCCCTTTGTGGTCATTAAAAGGTCACGGCCACCTTGGCAAGTGCAAGGGTGGGAGAGCTGGGCTCAATTCTCCCCACGGTTTCACTGAGGGAAGCTCTTCTTTACCTCCTCCCTTAACCCCCCACTGCAGAACAGCGGCTGTGCTCCACTCCAGAGGTGGCTTCAAGATACCCCCCCTCCTCTACAGCAGTTTGGGAGCCTTCCAGCTGAAGGGAACTGGATAAACGTATACGGCCAGCCGCAGCAAAGTGGACTAATGAAACTCCCCGTGGCTGGCCTGGCTGTAACTCACATGCTTGTGCTATTTGTGAACATTCCCACACCAAATTCCCCACTAGCTTGCTTCACACCACCCCCCGCCCTCCCGCTACATCTTTGCTGCTTAAGAGCCTCTCAGCAGCTCCACATGCCAGACAATGAGATACGGTTACATAAGCAGCCGTTTGTTTGGAGGAATTTTTCCCCTTTTCAGAATTGGACAGTTTCATAACTCAGCTGACAAATAACTCTGATCACTCTTCAGGATAAGACATTACGTGATGAATTTCATAACAAGGGCAACAGACTGTTCGACTGAGCGCCTGCTGGGAGCCCAAGTGAGCAAAAGCCAGATTCGCTCACTGTTCTTCTGTAAGATGAACACCCCCCCCCCCAGCAAGTTTGCCTAATAACACTGCTAATGCTTGATTAGGCATCAAGTTACCTGCCAGCCCTCACTCCTAATACTGTGCTGAGAGACAGCTTAACCCAGCTTATTAACCAAGAGGCTAATCAATAAGATGGATCATTGTGCCGTAATAATCCCTTCTATTTTTGGAGGGGACTAGTGCTGGCATTAGGGGTCTGGAATTTCTCCCTTGTCTATTTTGTGAATGACTGGCACAGCAAGGTGGTGGAGGTGAAATTGGCGCAGGTTTCAGGGAGTCCTGGCCCTCAGTCGCTATTGGATAGCAGGAACTTGTAACAGGCAGGGCAGAGTTTAGGAGCGCAGGTGCAATGGCTTAAAAGTGCAATGTCCAGACACAACAATTCAGAATGGCCTTTCTGCCACTCCTAGGGTTACCCCCGCAGATTGCCCGGCTGGCAGCTCCCTGAGCCAGCAGGAACCTGCTGGGTGAGCTGCCAGCGGGAACACAAAGGGTCAGAGAGTGAATAGGAGTCTGATGTGCAGCAAAGCAGAAAGTTGAGAGGTGTAGTAAGATGAAGGCCTAAAACATAAGCCAATGTAGCACAGGCCTGGTCTGAGGCCTAGCTAACAATGGACAACACATGGCTAACATAAAGCAAAGCTAAGCGGTGAGCAAGAGGCAGGCCCCCACCCACAAAACTTGGCACGAACAGGGCTGAGAGCGCAAAACACTAATTGGTGCTAGGCACCCACTGCAGAACAATAACTGGTACCGGTCATAAGTGCAAATCACATGGTACCAGCAGCTCATTAAAAAGGCCTTGGTACCCACCCCTCTCGGATACAGGCTCAGGTTCAGGAAAGGGTCTAGAATGACAGCATGATGGGTAAGGATGATCTAATCGAACCACGAGGAACAGGGTGATGGGTGGTATCTATGTAGCGTCAGAGGGTGGTAACCTGACAATGTCAGAGAGTGGCAACCCGATAGTCAGCAGTGAGGTGTGATTGGTTGTACCTGTATATAAGGTGATGTCTTGGGGGGACAGGCTTTGGATGGCCATGGGGCAGTGGGAGTTTCCCACTGACTGAGTCAGTCCATTACAGGCAGGGCTCGACACATAATGCAATCTACATGCCCGTGGCGAGTAGATTACAACCCGGAAGAGCCGGGTTCAGGCAATCTGCACAGATCTCCAGACAGCGCGGCTGGCGAGCGGGGCTCACTGCGGTGTGGCGAGCCCTGGTTACAGGTCCATATGCGCAGTGGTTCAGTAGAGTCTACTGACAGCTCTGACTGTACTTCGCTTAACAATAAACCTGGCTGGGCGCTTTTGATCCTTATCTGGTTTGGGGGCCCTCTCTGGGTCTGCTGTGGTCACTGAGCACACACGCAAGCAGCCTTCTGGTTCTCATCATCGATGGGGCCAGAGACCCGTGAGGACACCGCGGCCGTAAACCCACCTGCCTGCAAGAGGTAACAGAATCTATCCCTTTGCGGGTCCTGTTCCATCCCGCAGAGTCAAAGGCTGGGAGCTCATTTGCTAAGAGGCTCCACTCCACCCCCCACGCACGTGTAGCGTGGAGTCCGAGGAGGCTTGGAGTTCTTGCACCCAGACAGGTCGTGGCATCTCTTGGCGGGGACATGGGGTCAGCGCAGGCGGATTTAGTGTCACGCCACCAGTCGCTGCCGGTTGAGTGTTTGGCTTGTAGCAGTGGGAGGCTGGTTTATGCCCACCGGGTTCTTTGGTTTGGGTTGCACCTGAGAGATCTCTCCGGCTGGGATGAAACTTCCACAGAGGAACTTCAAATATTCATGAGCCTGCCGGAGAGTGCATCCTCTGCACACACAGTGCTCCTGCCTCAGCCTGCTATTTACTCATGGAATGAGGTCCAAGCAGGACGTAAATATTTATTTTAGCAGATAATGAATTTCCCTCTGCTTCCTCCGAAAGTTCACTGCCCTCCCTGTAGCTGAGACACACGGCCCCACGGAGCAAAGCCACATCTTGTTCCACATGCAAACGCGACCGCCGGGTCCGTGGCCAAGATGATGTCTAGCACCCACTTTGCACAACTTAGGCACAGGTGCACCAGGGCACGGTGGGGCCAGCTGTGCCTCCAGCAAGGTGGCATGTTGACAGCTGATGTGCTCCAGGTAAGATGGGCCTGTGGAAGAGGGACTAGAAGAGCTGAGCGCAGCTGGGAGCTGCACTTGTTTGAAGTTACCAGAACTTTCGGAGTCAAGAAAAGCTTCAAGGGCTAACAACCCTGAAACTTCCCCTTGGGCATCGGAAAAGCTGCGACCACAAGGCACTACCCAGGCAAAACCTGCTGTAAGACATTCCCCTTTCACATCTCGACGCCCTGCAGGGTCACCGCATAGAGAAAAGACTACAAGTCCTCCGGGCAGGAATGACCCCTACATTCTATTGCCTCATGCTGTACTCAGACCAGCTTTAACGCCAAGGAGTGCGGCTTTCAGCCCTACCGCCCTGTGCTCGGGTCAGCTAAAACTCAGCCAAGAGATTGCTCAACATTCAGTGTTTGCTCAGTTTTATCCCACCCCTCCCCCCTGTAGCCCTTCAACCACCCAAACCAGTGTTCCCCAACCTCTGCTCCGGGGAACAGCTATGGCATCTGTGGAGACCTCGCTGGTGCCTGGTGCTGGCTCTGCTACCTTAACACCAGCCCCTAAGTCACATCGAGGCCACCTCCTTTGTCACTAAAGTTCTTCTTTCGTGAGTGTAGGCGATCGTCGTCATTAGCCCAGGGAGGCTGCGTGACGCAGGGCAGGGTCAGTCGAGCTGGTAGGGCCATACGATTGTCGACGACACACTCTCTCCATTAAGAAAGGAGCCGTGCTATGAGAATGTCCAAGAATCCCTGGCCTGAATCATTTCCCTCCCTCCTTGGGTTCCCATCTTTTGAATTCTTGGAGAGCTCTAGCCCCAGAAGGAGTCACCAGCATTTTGTCCCTTTATTGCCGCAGGTTAACTGGAGCAGTTATAGAATCATAGGATACTAGGACTGGAAAGGACTCGAGAGGTCGAGTCCAGCCCCCTGCCCTCATAGCAGGACCACATACTGTCTAGTCCATCCCTGATAGACATTTATCTAACCTACTCTTAAATATCTCCAGAGATGGGGATTCCACAACCTCCCTGGGCAATTTATTCCAGTGTTTCACCACCCTGACAGTTAGGAACTTTTTCCTAATGTCCAACCTAAACCTCCCTTGCTGCAGTTTAAGCCCATTGCTTCTTGTTCTATCCTCAGAGGCCAAGATGAACAAGTTTTCTCCCTCCTCCTTATGACACCCTTTTAGATACCTGAAAACTGCTATCATGTCCCCCCTCAGTCTTCTCTTATCTAAACTAAACCAACACAATTCTGTCAGCCTTCCTTCATAGGCCATGTTCTCTAGACCTTTCATCATTCTTGTTGCTCTTCTCTGGACCCTCTCCAATTTCTCCACATCCTTCTTGAAATGCGGTGCCCAGAACTGGACACAATACTCCAACTGAGGCCTAACCAGCGCAGAGTAGAGCAGAAGAAGTTGGAGAAGTCTAGCTGGCCAGTGTCAAAGAAGAAGGAGGGGAATGGGGATTAGGGCACTCGGGCTAAGATGACTCCCAAAAGAAACACCACTATGTTTCCACTGGGGAAGGCTTTCTCCTCCCTCTCCTAACATGCATCTATGAGAGACTGTTTCCACTGAAGCATTGGGTACTGGCCATTGCTAGCAATAAGATATGGGACAGACCCCCTGTAAGACTGCTCCAGTCTGTCAGGAAGCGGGCCATGGGACCAGAAACTCCACGATCAGCTCTGGTCTGGAGACGCCAACGGGCAGTTTTACTGGTTGCTCTACAACTAAACAGTGTCACGTGTTCAATGTTCAGAAACGACTGCCACGTCAATGAACAACTTCAGTCTGCAGCGCTCCATGTCTGGCCTTCGCGGGAGCCTTCTCAAGACTGCTCAGACAGGCGTGGCGGTCTGTGGGGCTGGCAGACCCGAGACGAAGACCGAGGTGTGTGACGTCCCAGGCTAATGTCACAAAGGGACCCCGAAGAAAGTCTGCTCCCCAAATGCTGAGCAGGGCAGCCTGCCCGAATGGCCAATGTCCAGGTGATCCTCAGGGGAAGGAAACTCTTCTCAGAGTAGCAACCCTGTGGGCTTCACACTTCTTGAGGCTCATTTCTGCAGCCCCGCTGTGACTTCATTAGAACCTTAAGCAGAAAATCGAAGGCAGACACAGGCACGGCGCGTGGGCAAGTGCTGCCACCTACTGGCTGTCTCTGGACCTGGCAGCCTGCGGCGTGCTGCGGAGTGCGGCACACCCCATCGCCCAGAGGACGAGCACTGCGGACTGTGCTCGGCTCCACATTCTGGGAAAGCTGCACCTCTCGCGCCTCTGCATTATTAACCCCAGAGCGGCGCAGAGCGGCGCAGAGAGCGGCGAGTGCTTCCATGCCCCACGTGCCAGGGACATGTCGGGAGGATAAGGAAACAGGGAAGGAGCAGTTCGTTCCTTGTGTTAGAAATAAGACAGGTAGATCACAACCGCCAGGATCGGCTGTAGCCTGTAGCTGGAGGGGAGGGCCCAGCATGCTCAGGCACTGTTCGGGGGGAAGAGAGCCCAGCTGATCCTACATGCCAGCACAGCTCTGTAATTCACAGCCCCCTTCACTATCTAAGGCTACGTCTATACTGCAGAGTTTTTGTGCAAAAACTCGTGGCGCGTCCACACCTCAAGCGCGTTTTTGCGCAAGAAAACGTACAGTGAATCGACAGCACAGAGGGGGTTTTGTGGAACAGGGATTCCTCTTTCTACAGGAATAACTCCGTTTTGCACAAGAGTTATTGCACAAAAAGGGGTGTGTGTACGGGCAGCAGGGTTTTTTTGCACAAAACCAGCCTATCGAAACAAGCACCGGTGCCCTGGTGGCCATTCTGTGCATGGCAATCAGCGCTTTCTTGCGAGAGAGCATCCATGCAGTCTGGACACGCTTGTGCAAAAGCACACCGCTTTTCTGATGTGCGTTTGCAGGGTGTGCATGCTCTTGCGCAAGTTTTTACGGAAGATCTCTTCCAACAAATGCTTCTTGCGCAAGAAGCCTGCAGTGTAGACATAGCCTTGTCTCCCAACACAGGCTCGGATCCCCATCCCCTAGCTGCCCCGCCTTCGCACCTGTCGGATGGGCTCCGGGATCCGGTACCTACAGCAGGACTGGACCAGGCGCACTGCCGACTCCAGGCTTATCCTGTGGCCCACAGAGACATAGATGGGCTTCGTGCTCTTGTTGTAGCTGCGCAGGGCCTGGAGGGTGGGAGAAGCGGACAGAGCAGAGCTGTGGGGCTTGCTGAAAGCCAACTCAAGTCAGCAGTAATTGCACACTCACATTGGGATGCCCGGGAAAGCGGGGTGGAGGGGGGGTCATACATTTAAGAGCCCCAGCCTTCATTGCTCCCCTCCGCTTGGGAACATCACAGCAGCACATCACAGGGAGGGGCTGTCTCCTAAGACTCCTTGTGCTCTCCTCCCCCAATATTTCACTCTGCTCAGGGCAGGGGGTCTGGCTCAGCTGGAGCTGGAATGAACCGATAGACACCCGGGGGAAGGAGGCAGCCTCCTCCTGCAATGGAGCGAAACATGGGTGGCTACACCAGGACATGGCGTCTCACATCGCACTGTCCTGCAGAGGCGATGGGTGCCTGCAGGAGGAGGGGTGCAGAGAGGGCCACCCAGAGGGACAGGCAGGGGATGTGGGGGCACCCCATTTAGCAATTAAAATGTTGGCGGGGACACGGGGGCGTGCACCTTCTGAGCGCTACCACAAGTCCCCTATGCAGCCCCGTACGACAATGGGCCATGCACCCCGCGAGGGGACCCCCAGCCTTTCTGCAAGTGCATGGGCTGAAAGGGACAGGAGGTGAGCGTTAGCTCTGCCCTGCTCCGCTCCTGCCCTCCTGGCTTCGTCACTGGGCTGGAGAGAGAGTCACACTACCGTCCCCTCCCCATGCAACCAGGCGGGGGAACACGTGGCCAACGTGCGAAGCAGACTCCCCGGCTTACCATGCCCAGGACTCTGTCCGAGGTGCCCGTCAGAGGGAACGTGGCTCCGCCCATCTGCAGGTCGCGGATCTAAAACGAGGGGGCTGGTTAGCGCTCCGGACACCAGGCCCTGGGACAGCCTACTCCAGAACGTCCCTTCTTGGCCTGAACAAGCCTGACCGCTCACCCCCTTGGCTCTGGCCCTTCTTAACAGCAGCCTGTGGCTCCCCCAGCCCTCGACTGGGACGGAGTCGCTGGAGCTGCCCTCACCCGCCGGCATGTGGCTCCCCAGTGGGTGGAAGAGGCCATGAGGGCGTCGCGAGTTCCCGCTCAGCCAGGCTCTTACCCCATGTGCCCCATTGGCACAGGAGGGAGGGATTCTCGTGCTGGCCTTACCTGCTCCTTGTGCAGCTCGTCCTTGGCCAGGCCGTGGACCTGCAGGAGGTTTTTGGCCACACCAATACAGGGGAGGCCTGTCAGCACCCCCAGGTGGCAGGCTACACCGAACCCTGCCAAACAAGGCAAAAGATGGTCCAGGGAGACAGAAGGGGACAGAGGAGGGGGCTCCACCCTGTTGTGGTGACCCTCGTCAGAGGGGATAGCCCAGGGTACGACTGTAAGGCTGCAACAGTGCCACAGCCAAGAGCAGAGTGGGGGGCACTGGCCCATGGGCACCAGGGCTGCAGGGACAGCGCTCCACTGTGGGGCAGTTTGTCAGCCCCACAGCTGGAGGTTCCTCAAACTCCAGATGGCATCAGAACCCAATCAGTGCCCCAGGGAGAGACATTAGCTTATTGCTAGATGGCGAGTATTACTGTCTCCTTCACTGGTCTAGCGCTCTGGACCCTAAGGAAAAGCAGGAGCTCTCCTGGAGCCCGGGGGTCCCCGTGGGGGAGGGGCAGCGCTCTCTCCTGGAGCCGGGGGGTCCCCGTCAGGGAGGGGCAGTGCTCTCTCCTGGAGCTGGGGGGTCCCCGTTGGGGAGGGGCAGCGCTCTCTCCTGGAGCCCGGGGGTCCCCGTGGGGGAGGGGCAGCGCTCTCTCCTGGAGCCGGGGGGTCCCCATGGGGGAGGGGCAGCGCTCTGTCCTGGAGCCCGGGGGTCCCCATGGGGGAGGGGCAGCGCTCTCTCCTACCTCTGGGATGGAGCTTGCCATTCCCGTCCACGAGCAGCACCTGGAAGAACCGGCAGGTGACGGGTTAGCACCGAGCACCGTGGAACGCTCCGGTTGAGCCAACGCGCCCCTGACATGTCACGTGAGGCCAGTTCCGCGAGGAAGGGGAAGGCTCCATCGCGACCCTCTACACCACTCCTCCCCTCCCGCGCATGCCACGCTCTATCTTCCGTGCCCCTTTTCATGCCCACCCCTGGAGCAGGGCGCGGATCGTCTCTCTTGCTGGCCGAGCGCCCTGCACTCCAGCAGTGCTAAAGAAAGGCTGGGAGACATCCCTGCGCCCTGCTGTCGCTGCTCGCAGACAAGGTGAAGTCGGAGCCAGTGGCTGGCTGGTTTCCCCATCCCCTTCAGAGACAGTGAAGCAGACGCAGCAACAAGGCTGTGTTAAGGTGCCCCCTGCCCTGCCTGCTGCAGAGCTGCTGGGCAGGGCAACCTCTAGGGAAGGGTCCTCTAGCACCCCAGGGACATCTCCCCATGAGAAAGGAACATGCTGCACCTGAGGCCTGAGGCCAGGCTCTCGCTCCTGAAGTCTCTGAGCAGCTTCCACCAGGAAAGGAACCTCTCGGAAAGCTAAGAATCCTGCCACATAGGGGGCACTCACGGTCACCATCCGGCAATCCTCATACAGCACCTGGCACAGAGCAAGGGGAGAGCTGAGAGCATAGACTCATGTCGGCAAGGGGCAGCTTAATGCAGCAGGCACGCCACTCAACCCAGGCCGTGGCTGGCTTAATCCCGACCGGCTCAGATATTTCTTCTCGAGTATTTCTTTTTTCTCTCTCTCTCTCTTTATTACTCTCTCCTAGCCCTACTGGGACTCTCCCATAAAGTTAAGCACAAATGCTGAGTGTTGGTGGGTCGCAGGGGGAGATGTAACGGGCAGGAGATGGAAGATGACCGGGTATACCCTAGTCTGCCCTGTCCGACTTGAGTGCAGGGATTCTGCCACTGGCCAGGAATGTTTCATCCCCTTTCAAGTGTGCAGCAATGTGAGATCACTGTCCTTACAATCAATGGCTGATCAAAGGGCTTCTCACTCAGCATTTGGTAAAGTGGATTCCAGAAGAAAGCCTGTTAGGACACTAGATCAAGTAGGGGAATTAACTTACAGAGAGCCCTTCATCTCTAAGAACTGTGACAGGATTTGCTTCTCACTTTCTGTGATTTCCAGTGGGTACCACTGTTAATTTCCATATTGGTTCTTAGTGGTTTTAGTTAGTGACAACTTTTTACATGAGTTGAAATCTGCACATAAACTCTGACAAATCTTTATTAATTCAGAGTTTAATGACTGTAGAGCATGGGGGATTCGCAACAGATTTGGAAGTGCCATTGTAAATCACATCTCGTATTTATTGATTACCAGAGGGATGTGACAAAGAAGGCACCATCTGTCTAGGAATGCTCCATTGTTTTAACTTGCTCGCCTGGTAAATATTGAATAACAAAGGCCTTTCTGCTGTTTGTTTCTGGGCAGAGGGTGAAACTGAGGATTTCCACATTTACCTAATTGTGTCAAAATCTTCAAAGCCAGTTTACAAGCTATTTCTTACCACCATATCTGACCTACTCCTGAACAACTGCCACACACTGGAACCACCTCCCCAGACTCTTACTGAAACAAAAGACAGGACTATGCAGCACTTTAGAGACTAACAAGATGGTTTATTAGGTGATGAACTTTCGTGGGCTCATCACCTAATAAACCGTCGTGTTAGTCTCTAAAGTGCTGCATAGCCTTGTCTTTTGTCTCAGCAAGACCAGACTAACACGGCTACATCTCTATTCCCAGACCCTTAGATGTTCTCTGTTAACTCCTGGACTCTGAGCTTCTCCCTGCAGAAAGTGACCAAACTGTGTATTTCCAAATTCATTTTTGCTAAGCAATCCCAGAGACCATCACCCCTGTTCTCTCTCCTCCTCACTCCTGCTCTCTGCCGAATGTCTTTTCTTGGTGAACTCGTGGGTCAGATGCTTGGCAGGAGCCTTGTGATGCTGAGATACAGTCCATGATGCCCTTTGGGGTAGGCTGGTTTTCTGCAACGCCTTTGCATTACAGGTATCCCCCCATGAGAAACTCAAGGGCCATTACCTCCAGATCTGGGTAGCTGAGAACCACCAGGGAAGCACAAGCAATTGTGTCATTTTCTTTGCCATAAGACAGGTCTACTCCTCCCACTCTCTCCAGTCCTGCAAAGGCCAAATCCTTCTGCCACTCCTCGGTGTCCTCTTCAATCACGCTCGCCTTTAGCTGGGCCTGCTCCCTGGGGAATGAGTACCACAGGCAAAAAAATAGCGTCTTTTTAGTCCCAGCTCCATGCACAAACCAACGAAACAACAGAGGATGAAGACAAGACTGGGCAAACGAGTTATTCGATTATTTCAGCAGGTTTCCATCCAAGAAAACAGCTGTTTTTGGAAAGACGTGTGGGGTTGGGACCTGGACAACACATTTCTTGTAGGGTTGCCAGACGGTTGAACCAAAAATACCAACCCCCCGCCCCCCCACACACACACACACAAAACCACAGAGGAAAAAATTCTGTTGAGAAAAAAAAAGGGGGGGAGACCAAAGTTGTTGAGTGAGTGCAGACTGAGAATAGGGATAGGCTGGGGAGAGGTTGAGCACTAAGACCCAGGGAAGTTGCTTTCCCTTGGTCTTTAGGCTTTTTGCCCACAGCCATTTTGTGTTCTTGTTCAAGCCAGAACTTAGCTTCCCAGCGGAACCAGGTAAGCATGGGGTCCAGGGGCATGGTCTGGGGGTGTCGGGATTTGGGGGGGTGAGGGTAGTGGGGGAGGCCGGGGGCTAGGCCCGGTCCCGAGCACTAGGGTTGCCAGGCGTCGGGTATTTTCGCCTCCTGGCCAGGAAAAAAATCAGAAAATACCAGACATTTTAGGTGTCCAGTATTTTCTGATTTTTTTTTTACTGGACAGGAGGCGAAAATATTGGACTGTCTGGGTTAACACCGGACACCTGGCAACCCTATTTTCTTGGGGCAGTGTTGTCTAGTTACTGAAGCAGAACATCAGGACTCCTGGGTTCTAGGCTCAGATTTGCTTCTAAAATAGTGGTAGAGATGTAGCCGTGTTAGTCTGGGGTAGCTGAAGCAATTTGCTTCTAAGTGACTGCGGCAAACCTGCATCCTTTGGTTTTCGCAGCTGCAAACTGGAGATGATAAAAATGTTTCAGAGCAGGGTTCATGAGAGTGGAGCGCAAAGCCTTGGAGATCTTGGGTGGAACGTGTCAGAACAGGTGCTTTTCTTTGCATGGATGGGGAGGGATGAAACAATTGAAGGTGACAAGCTGGCTGCCTTCAGATCTCTGCAGAAACCTACCAGGTGAGGCCTAGGAATTCCCTCACTTCAATACTAAGGAAAATGCTAACCAGGCTCAGTGACTACAGACCTGAAGGGAGAGTCTCAGTGTGGGGGCATGAAGACCCATCTGAGCCCAGACGAGTGACTGCACTGCCTGTGGTAAAGAGGAGAGACTGGGACAGAGCCATTCTCTCTCTTCCAACACCCTTGATAACAGATAGCACAGGGAAGAGTCCCAAAAAGTACCAGGAAGCAGAATACGCCATGTCCAAGAGCCATGGGGACAAACAGTAATCACCTTTCTGGGAGGGAGAGATGTGGCGACAGTTCCCACTGCTGCCACCAGGTGTGGGCAGCTCTTAGAACCAGGGACCCACCTTTGGACGACATCAGGGGACACAGCCAGGCATGGCCTGCAGGGGCCAGGCTTTGCCACTAACCCATGCCCCTAGCCCAATGGAGTTTAGGGTTGCCAGGTGTCCAGTTTTCGACCAGAGCCCCCGTCAAAAAGGGACCTTGGTGTTCCAGTCAACCACACTGACTGGGCCACTAAAAGTCCAGTTGGTGGTGCAGCAGGATTCAGACAGGCTCTCTGCCTCTAGGCCACAGGTGGGCAAAAGAGCCTCCGTGGGCCAAATCCAGCCCACCAAGCCAATTGGTCTGGCCCGCGGATGCCCTGCCCACCCCCCTCTGTCCCCAGGCCAATCAGGGCCAGGAAGCGAGGGGAAGTGTGCAAAATCTCCTCCCATCCTGCTGGGAGTACATGGTGCTTAGAAGCACCACAGCTCCTGGCAGGATGGGAGGAGACTTCGCACGTTTCCCCTGCCCCAGGGGGTACGAGGGGGCAGCACGAGAAGTCTCCTCCCACTGCAGGAGTCATGGGTACCTAGAGGGAACTGCCAGCTGTTCGGAAGGGCTGACAGTTCCCTCTGGCAGCGAGGACTCTGCACACTCCCCATCCCCAAGCCAATCAGGGTCTGTGGGTGGGAAAGCCCAGATGTGTCCAGGTCCGACCCCTTCTGCCTGAGGCCCTGCCCCTTCTGAGGTGGCTGAGGGCCACTTCAAAAATTTCTGAAGTAGCCCCCGGTCAAAAATTATTGCCCACCCCTGCTCTGGACATAGGAGTAGCCAGAGAGGCTCCCTACACC